TTTAAGTTTTCTTTCCGTCTTCTGCGCCTGTCTTCAGTAAGCGCTTTTCTTTGGGTCCTAAATGTGTGTCCCGCAACTTTTGTGAGACTTCTCTAACTGTCTCTTTCAGAGGCCATCTGCTACTAGCTACTTTCCTCTATGTAAGTGAAGTCGAAATGGCGCCTGAGTTGACCTTTATAGCGCTTAGAAGGGGGGCACCCTGTTACGCCGTCCTTCTTTAAGATTTCTAAAGAAGATCGCTTTTGACCTGCGGTCGTCTCCTATGCGGGATAGGTGTCCGACCAAGCGTAGCTGTCAAATAGTAATTAGGGCTTCTATACTGTCCACACTGGCCTCCATCACAGTGCAAAAAAAAAAAGTGTAAAAAATGTATATACTTGGTGGTCCCTGGTTTGAATCTCAGTGAAGACCGGTATTTTTAATTTCGTGATTTTAATGGCACTCTTTGAGTCCACCCAATTTTAATGGGTTCCTAGCATTAGTTGGTGAAAGTAAAGAGATTGGTCGTTGTACTGGCCACATGACAACCTCTTTAACTGTCGGCTATAAAATCATGTCGCAATCATGTCGCAAGGTCTGAAATTAATACTTTACTTTAAATACTAATAAAAAAACATAACTTCTTTATTCTGTACACCGGATACACCAAAAAGTTAAATATTTATAGTTTTTCCCCCATAAATAATAGTATTTGTGTATCTTTGATTTCAAACAAATTCAGCTCATGGGATTTACTTTCAAAGTATGAAAAACGTGAGTTTTCGATGCCTCCAACGGAATTCAACAATCTAGCTACAAAAGTCTGAGGAACAGAACTATCGAGTTCTTCTTCTGACCATCTTTTGACTCTATTGCAATCTGTGACTTGGAAAATATTTAACCTTACAGACGGACAGATCGTTGACTAAACTTGATGGCTGAGGTAACAGACTGAACGAGGTGGGAGAAATAGAGGGCTTTCAGAAAGGAAACGCTCGAAAGAAGCGTGTATATATATATAGGTAGTATCCCTTTCAAACCTTGCAATCTGTAAGGTAGATGATGTCAAGGTCCTCTGTTTCTATGCCTGACAGTTCACGAGGATAACCAGAATATTGATCAATTGTCAGTTACCCATTAGAGTTGGGTGGACGTCCTAAAAATCCCGAAATTAAAAAATCCAGCCTTGACTGAGATACAAACCCGAGATCCCTCAGTCTGGAAGCTTAGCTATGCAGTCACCACACGTATAAATATGAGTATATTGTTATTGAATACTTTAAAATTACATTGTCTGTTTGTTAGAAACACACCCACGAATACAACAGGGTTTACTTTTAGTTTTTTGGGTTTTTTTTTAAGTGAGGAACTGCATGAACTGCCACGAGGTCACGCGGCTTATAGAAATTCTGTGGACTTTACTTTTGAAGTCTGCCGCTGAATCCTGGCATAATTGAATGTGTTTTGAAACCAGTGAAGGATAAGAACACGCACACACATAACTACATTCACACACACTCTCACATAGAAGCCACATTTTTTTAAAATTCAAAATGTTCATTTTACCACTTTCTATTTCAGTGAACAGGCCATTTCGCTTTCTTATTGCCTCCCCTTTCAGAGCAGACGAGTACTTTTGATCCGGGTACCACCTGGACTAGTCCACCAAGTTTTTTTTTCTTTATTTTTATTTCGCAAAGCTCCTTTCGTGTCACACAAAAAATAACGCCAACTAGTGTGTGTGTGTGTGTGTGAAAGTGTTTGAGTGTCCCTACCATAGACTGCTACAGGCTTCCTTTGCTGCCCCCCCCTCCCAGTATGTTATAGTAGGCTTGTTATTTTTTTATCAGTTTGATCTATTCATGGCTGAAGTATGCTGTGTCGTGTTTGTATGTTTTTTGAATTATCGCGTTTATATATTCCCTGTGCTGTCGTGTTTGTTTGCTGTCGTGTTTGTTTGCTGTCGTGTTTGTTTGCTGTCGTGTTTCTAAGATGTGCTGTCGTGTTTGTTTGCTGTCGTGTTTCTAAGATGTGCTGTCGTGTTTGTTTGCTGTCGTGTTTCTAAGATGTGATGTCGTGTTTGTTTTATTGGCTTTCATATGTGTATGTTTTGTATGCTGTTTGGCTTTGTATGTTGTCATGTTTGTATTTTTTGTGTGTGCTGTCGTTTTTGTTATATGGGATGTCATGTTTGTATGTTTTGTGTGTTGTCGTGTTTGTATGTTCTGTGCTGTCATGTTGTACTTTCTGTGTATTGTTGTGTTTGTATGTGTGCTGTTATGTTTGTTTGTTTTGTGTGCTGTCGTGTTTGTTTTATGGGCTTTCGTATTTGTATGTATTTTGTATTGTCTTGTTTGAATTTTTTGTTTGTTGTCTTGTTTAAATGTGCTGTGTGCTGTCTTGTTTGTATGTTTTGTGAGCTGCCTTGTTTGTATGTTTCGTGAGCTGCCTTGTTTGTATGTTTTGTGAGCTGCCTTGTTTGTATGTTTCGTAAGCTGCCTTGTTTGTATGTTTTGTGAGCTGCCTTGTTTGTATGTTTTGTGATGTGTTTCAATGCTATGTACTTCTGTTGATGGATGTGGCAACGTTTTAAATACTCTAGTGTTCCATAAGAGGCTGCACCAGTTTTGATGTCGGTAAATGATGAGCCTTGACTCTCCGTGGAAGTTTTGTAAAGAGATTACATTAATTTGTATCAGCTTGTTTAGTGATTGATTTGATTGAACTGATTGATTTCACTACTTACGTTGGCTATTTTATTGCTTAAGAAACGTCAAAGTTTGTTCAGGATGACGAAGACATTTAGAAACACTTTAGATCGTGATATTATTAGAGTATCATTATATTATCAAACAAAAATATCTGCCTCTTACTCTATCTCTTTGTTCTCTCTCTCTCTTCTACTCTCCATTCTCTTTCTCTCTTTCTTTAACCTCTGATCTCTCTCTCCCTCCCAATATCTTTCGACTGTCGGTTCAATGATCGCGGATTCGAACCCTCCCTCTCCGCCTTCCCCGCCGTCCTGCGTAAAGTTTAGACTAGAATGTAATAATCTTTAATTCTGGACTGAGGTAAAGCCCGATACCTGTAAAACAGATGACGTAATTTACTAGAGCTAGACACTCAGTCGAACTTTGATTTAATTTAATTTTTGTTTGTTTATCTTTCCTAGTTTGGTTGTCTGTTTGTTGAGTTGTTTAGCTGTTTTGTTGTTGTCTGTTTGTTGAGTTGTTTAGCTGTTTTGTTGTTGTCTGTTTGTTGAGTTGTTTAGCTGTTTTGTTGTTGTCTGTTTGTTGAGTTGTTTAGCTGTTTTGTTGTTGTCTGTTTGTTGAGTTGTTTAGCTGTTTTGTTGTTGTCTGTTTGTTGAGTTGTTTAGGTGTTTTGTTGTTGTCTGTTTGTTGAGTTGTTTAGCTGTTTTGTTGTTGTCTGTTGAGTTGTTTAACTGTTTTGTTGTTGTCTGTTTGTTGACCTTTGTTTGATTTGAAGCTGCCTCACAAAAATAATTGATGTAGTAATGTACGTGAACTTAGCGAATCGTGCGACTATCAACTAAGAATGTTTTAGGCAAGTCTCTATGGGAACAAAACATTTCAAAGTTATTAAACATTGATATAGTTGAGCATAATGTGTTCAGGTGTTTTATCTTCTTGGTTTTTGGACAAAGTTAATTTCTTTTTAACATAATTAATATGGTGATCAGAAGCACACAGCCTCTACACTTTCTCTCTCTCACACACACACAAAAGTACACAAAAACACAACCCGAATTTTAAAAAAAAGAATTAAATGACAGGAAATGTGTTAATATGGTTTTAAAAAATATATTTTTGTTCCATTCAAAGTTTATTACACATGCACATCCATTATTTAAACAAAAATTATAGTATTACAGTAAAATATACACTATATTTAGACAGATCTAGTAATGTTTCTACCAGCTATTGTGATGTTTCTACCAGCTATTGTGATGTTTCTACCAGCTATTGTGATGTTTCTACCAGCTATTGTAATGTTTCTACCAGCTATTGTAATGTTTTTACCAGCTTTTATGATGTTTCTACCAGCTTTTGTGATGTTTCTACCAGCTATTGTGATATTTCTTTCATACCTGTGACACAAACAATGTATACCATCTTCTGTTTCTCTTCCACTAGAAGGCTGATGTAGCCATGACCACCAGAGCAGCCCTGGACTGACAAGTGGATTAACATTGAAGAGATGGAGTGGGTGGTGGACATCACCAATCTGGTCAACTCCCTTTGCAGACTTCTAACTGAAAATAGTACTCACCAAACTTATTCATAACATAATTTATAAAATTATTTATTTATTAATAGTCTGCATAGTTTCACATTGGTAACTTCAAGAGATCAGATGACGTAATCAAGGTGGGAAAGGCGGAGTTCTAGAAAATTCGGACACACTTTTAGGGACCAATACCAAATTAGAAAGTGTCTTCCATTCAACGAGTTTTAAGAAGATTTTTGATAGGAGGGGGGGGGGGGGTGAGAGATAAAGTGGGGGGATAATTGATAAAAAATTGACCATCTCTGTAAAAATGAAAAACAAAAAGCACCTACCCATGCATCCAGTAAAAAGCGCCACCTATGTCTCTAAGTAACTATAATTTAGGTTACATGCACAATTTTAGCACTTGAAAAATTTATATTATTTACTGCTACATTTGCATTGACATGAATAGTTATAATTGTGTTATGAATGATATTATGTGCTATGATATTATGTATTACACACATTTTGTTGACATTGACTGTTGTTGATGTCCACTGGTGTCCATTCTATTTCCGTTTCACCTACTAACAACTTCATCTGTACATTGTCCATCTGTTTATATTTCGATGTTGTTTCTGTGTCTCTGTAATGACGTCATGCTTTGAGTCGTGCTCCCTGGGGGGTCCGGCGCGTGGGTTGGGGTGGATGCTGGGAGGGCGCCGTTCTTGTCTTTGGTTATCTAGCTGTATGATTGTAGAACAAATTCATAAAGCTAGGTTACCAAAGGCAAGACTGGAAGCCGTAAACATCGCCGGACGTCGCAGTCTGTTCCAGGACGATGGCGCCATCACTCTCTGGCCTTTGCTCGTGAGCATAATGACATCACAGCAGGAAATGACGTAAGTAGTGCACTTTTATTTCCATTTACCACGTGACTACAATGTTAATTCTATTTTAAACAATGTTTTAAAAAACTATTACAAATCTTAAATAAATAAACTCTATTGACTGTAGTGTACAGGTTAAATAAATGAAACTATAAAAAAACAACTTTTGTGTTTGTTACCGATTTTTGACTACGTGTTAGTGTGAAAGTTTTGGATTCTAATCCTTTAAGAATCATTTTAAACAGTTGATGTATATAGAAAGATATCACAAGAAAGAAAAATGGCAAACATTGGCAACACTATTTATAAAAATATATTTAAAAAAAACAACAGAAACATTGCCTTCCTATAATAGCTTGGTAAACGGGTGAAATAAAATTGTTCATCTCTTCTGAGAAATAAACAAAATATTTAAAAGTGAAAATGTTTTTATAGTCACTGTAATAAAAATGTTACCTACCTTCTCCATCTACTGCTCCAGTCCCAAGTAGATCTACACTATCTATCAGCTGTCAAGTAAACGTCTGTGTTCGATGGCACTTTAGAATCAATGAGCTGTTTTCGCATCTTCACAAATCATAACCTCCACAGTTTGCAATTGACGAAAGAATACAAATAAACCTCGAACAAAAAAAAAATGCGTCGACGTCGTCTTTTGAATGAGTTGAATAGAAGCTTGCTGTTTTTCTAGGTAGTTCCGCATCCTCCTTTTGAGGTAAATAGCTGTTGTGTGTTTTTGTTGGTGCGTGTTTGAAGTGATACAGATCATGATCAAAATATTTGTGAACTACTGGTAGAATGGAACACAAAGAGGCTTGAGAGCCGCTATCTTTGTTCTTTGCTGTGAAAAAGTGGGATTGTCGTTTGCCCCTAATGCTATTTACTTGTTGTCCTGTAAAGAACACGCCAGCAATAGTTCAAACAAACAAATTTGAATATTTTTGGGTGACATGTTGGATTGTAATGTTCCACACCATCAGTCTTAAAAGCTTTACAAAGCAGCCTCACTCACAAAAACTCTGTGTAACCCTGTGTGTGTGCGTGTGTGTTGGGGGGAAGGCTACAGATAAGGCGCCTTCGCTCCAGCACTAAAACATGTTTTTGAACAACTATTTATTAATTTACTATTTGTTTGTTTGTTCCCCAAGGTTTGGAACATTCAAGTGAACTTTTAAGGAACTTTTAAGCTTATTAAAATATGGTCTTTTCAAATTGTCATACACTGTGACTTACGCTTAACCATTTTATAATAAATTTATAACATTTAATAATAAAATATGCAACATATTTATTTCAAAAAAAAAATTTTCAGCAATGTAGCAAAAACAAAATAAAATAAATAATGCCACTCTATAATATTTATATCATCACAAATACTGATATAAATTGCTATAATACTAACGACAAAAAAGACACAATATTATTCTAAACTATAATGAGCAACGAGAAAGGATACACATTCAATGATATAAAATCTAATTATATATTATTTATGTAACATTTAATAAATTAACATACAATATAGACTTTAGCAACAAATAAATGGCATGAATTATATTATTACAGTTTTGTCTGTTGAAAGTTGTGATTAAATGCAAATATGGATAACAGACCTCATTCACCAATCGTAAACAAACACCATTTAGCCAAGTGATAATAATGATAAAACAATGAAAATTTCGTATCACGTGATAGCCTTTATGGATTGCGTAATTTGTATAGAAGATATAGAGAACCACGTGGCAAAATGGTGTTTGCTTACGATTGGTGAATGAGGTCCATTAATTATCAAAAAATCAAATCATGTTGATTGTGATGGTTTTATCAGTAAAATACAGAAGTGAAAGAATGTGATCCATAGCAAGGAAGTTTCTACATTGACTTTCTAACAGCAAGGTGTGTACTCTTGATGTTGTCTAAGGGAGCTAATTCTAATATTTAAAAAAACACTCATCAGTATAAACATTTTTAAAAAGTGACCTCAACTCTGTTTTACCTCCACTTAAAAAGTTACAAAACACAAGACGCCAAAGGCTACCCAGCTTACATAAAGGGTACCCAGATTAAATAAAGGCTACCCAGCACAACGACCAACCGCCTTTACTTTTCCCTAATTAATGTCAGGTACCCATTAGAGCTGGGTGGACTCAGAGATCCCGAAGATCCCGAAATTAAAAATTCCAGTCTTCACCAGGATTCGAACCCCGGTCTCCAGTTCGGAAGCCAAGCGCTGTACCGCTCAGCCACCGCGACTCCCCAGCTTACATAAAGGCACACCATATTACATAAAGGTTACACAGATTACATAAAGGCTACCCAGATGAAATAAAGACAACCCAGATTACATAAAGGCTACCCAGAATAAATAAATGCTACCCAGCTTACATAAAGGCACACCCTATTAAATAAAGGCTACCCACATAACATCCAGACCACAGTCAGGCTACATCCAGACTACCCAGGCTACTTTCGAGCTAAACATGTAGTTTTGGGATACCATACATTGAATCTAATTGTGTTAATATATCATTAATTCTTCCCCTTGTAGAGTGTGATCAGCTCATATGATCATCATACTAGAATACACGAATTTAAATTCATAATACTTGAGTTGACAAAACATCAAGTTTAATCAACCACAAGACCAGAATCCTCAAGGTTTATAGAAACCACAATCATAGACCAGTCTGTATTATTTTAATACAAACGTAGACCAGTCTGTATTATTTTAATACAAACGTAGACTAGGCTGTATTATTTTAATACAAACGTAGACCAGGCTGTATTATTTTAATACAAACGTAGACCAGGCTGTATTATTTTAATACAAACGTAGACCAGGCTGTATTATTTTAATACAAACGTAGACCAGGCTGTATTATTTTAATACAAACGTAGACCAGGCTGTATTATTTTAATACAAACGTAGACCAGGCTGTATTATTTTAATACCAACGTAGACCAGGCTGTATTATTTTAATACCAACGTAGACCAGGCTGTATTATTTTAATACCAACGTAGACCAGGCTGTATTATTTTAATACAAACGTAGACCAGGCTGTATTATTTTAATACAAACGTAGACCAGGCTGTATTATTTTAATACAAACGTAGACTAGGCTGTATTATTTTAATACAAACGTAGACTAGGCTGTATTATTTTAATACAAACGTAGACTAGGCTGTATTATTTTAATACAAACGTAGACTAGGCTGTATTATTTTAATACAAACGTAGACTAGGCTGTATTATTTTAATACAAACGTAGACTAGGCTGTATTATTTTAATACAAACGTAGACTAGGCTGTATTATTTTAATACAAACGTAGACTAGGCTGTATTATTTTAATACAAACGTAGACTAGGCTGTATTATTTTAATACAAACGTAGACTAGGCTGTATTATTTTAATACAAACGTAGACTAGGCTGTATTATTTTAATACAAACGTAGACTAGGCTGTATTATTTTAATACAAACGTAGACTAGGCTGTATTATTTTAATACAAACGTAGACTAGGCTGTATTATTTTAATACAAACGTAGACTAGGCTGTATGAGACCATGTCCTATTATTTAAATCTACAAAATCGACTTATTTTGAAAATAGCACAATCACGAAAAATTCTCACACGTAGCATGTCAGGTAAACCCTGTGAATGGTTGACATGCCAACAAGAAAGCAGCCCAGCAGGACAATCGCCAGAATCTACAGGAGACCTGCCACAATGGGCAATTATCTAAAGAAAAGGTACAGAAGGAATAAGACCTCTTGAATTAGTGACAGCCAACTTTGTCAACGGCACCAGTTGGTTTTGTTGACCTTGTTTGTGACAAGCCAGTGCGTCTTGCTAGACGTGATTATTACAAGGCTAATAGAAGTCTAAAGCAGTGCAGTCTAAGAGACGTGATTGAAACTGTTATTGTAACATGCAGTTCAGGTAAAGTCTATAGGTGTAGTGTTCAAGAGACTTAATAAAAAATTGTAACACGCATTGATGTAAAAAAAATGATATGGATTTTGACTGTTAAAATAATATTTATAAAAAATAATGCCTTCAATATTACAGTACACTAAATTTTTATAGTCTGCAGTTCTTGAGACGATACCATGAGAATAGAGCATAGGTTCAGTGACGAAGTAACCATGACGAGATGGGTTCCATGGCGCCCACAGAGGCCATTGAAGGATAGTCGTCTGTTACCTATAAGAAGAAGTACAAGACTTGACTATTAGTGCTTGTCAGAAGTCATGACTGTATGAAATGTAAAGACAATATTATTTGTAAAGGTGCTACATACATTGGAGTGTCTTTCATAATTTTTTTTACTTTTTTAACCTTTTAGTTTAGAGAGTGTGGGGTGGCACCATTGGAATCTTGCAGCTGGCTCACATGTGCACTTGGCACCATCAGATGGACCTGTCTGATTAGATATTTCAAATTTGAAGAAAAGTTAGTCACTAGGAACGTAGTCTTATGTTTTTTTAACCAAAGTTAGGGTTAGGATTTAATTTTAATACAGTTGTTTATTATAAATAATAATTGTTGTATACTACTAGAATGTTATAAAATGCTATTATATATTATAAGAATATTGTTACATAATAAAATAATAACTTTAAAGTATTAAACTTAGCCTAATGTAATAATAGAGTTGACAACAGAATATTTAGGGCTGGGGTTATAAGTTACTCCCCCTTTTTTTAAATGCTTTCCTTTAATACTTACATTGTCTCGGCTGTGATTGATTTGCTATAAGGACTTAATACTGAATAGGGAACTGATACTATATGTTATTACATAAATGACAATAAAACATTTGCTTGTTAAATTTGAATGTCATTTAAACATTGACATCGGGGTAAACTTCAAGACAAATTAATATAATCTAAACAAATTTTCTTTTTTAAAAATATTTCAATTTTAATTTTAGACATTAATAAATTAACTTAAAAATGTAAATTACCCCTTTCAGACCTTGTGATCTACAGGGTAGATAATATAAAGGCCATATGTTTCTGTGGCCCACGGTTAACGAGGGTGTCATGAGGCTAAGAACAACAACCAAACGCCTTTACTTTCCCTAACCTAATGTCAGGTACCCATTAGAGCTGGTGGACTCATAGCCAACAAAAGATCCCGAAGTTAAAAATCCCAG